ATAAACAAATATATATTGACTAAATAGCTAATCTAATTATAATTTAAATTAATTACGGATCAAAATTTAATTTTAACTATAATTATGTCACTTATACATATATAAATACATATGTATATCAATTACAATAAATATAATTATCTAACATATATACATATACACTTTTCCTCTCTCCATTCTTTGTCCTCTCTCTTCCCTCTTACAATCTCACTCGTCTCTCTCATCCCTCTCACAATCTCACCCGTTTCTCTCCTCCTTCTCTCAATCTCACTAGCCCGAGATACAAATACATATTTATACCAATTACATATGTACAATTATATGACAGATATACATATACAATTTGATAAGTATACATGTACAATTTGTCTCTCTCGCTCTCCTCTCTCCTTCATCTCTCAATCTCGATTGCCTCTCTCCTCCCTCTAGCATATAGCTACGAATTATAATTAAAACTACAATTATAGAGCATTATATATATATATATATATATATAAAGTGGATCTTCCAAAAGGAGAAGTTTCCCGACTATTTACTTGAAAAAATAACTTAAATACACAATTATAAGTTTAATATTCTCTAATTTTTCCTTTTTTTTAATATTACATAATTCTTTTTTTTAAATTTTAGTAGAAGTTTAGAGATACATAGTCTTCTCTCTCCTATAACACACACTTCCCCAATATCATGCCTATTTTTTCTCCACTAAAACACTCAATCTTCTGAATCACTTTTTGAATTTTAAATTATTAATTTTAATTAAAAACGTTTCACAACATTTAATATGAAATTTTGAATTTCAAAATTCAAAAAATTTAAAATTTCTGAAAATTGGACCTTTGTTCTCTGGTTCTTCTTCTTCTTCTTACTCCATCATCAATCTATAATTCTTCTTCTTCTTAATCCATCATCTGTTCTTATTTTCTTCTTTTTTTTCTTCTTGTTCATTGCTATATTACATCAGCGGTCTCTAGGTCTTCTTTTTCTTCTTACTCCATCATCCATTTTTTTTTCATTGTTCTATTACATCATATTAATTGATCCTTTTACTAATAGAAGGATTTATGATTCGGACGATGAAAATTGGAAAGAAAATAGAAAAAAGTCTTTGCATGATCCTATGAATGTTCAGAAAGATTCAAACAAAGATTTTGGCGAATCATCTAAATCAAAGGTTGACAAAATACACAAAAAAAAAGAGAGAGAAAAGAAGCAGCAACCATTGTTGTTGAAATTAGTAAAAATTTTAGTAAAGGAATCCCAGTATCATGAATTTTTGAAAATTGTTATCATGTATTAGACTATAAGTTTAATGCATAAGTACTCAGTGTGTTAGTCGATGCATTGATACATGAATTAGATGTGTATCATATGATTTCCTATGTATCAAGATTTTTTGAAAATTGTTATCATGTATCAGTCAATAAGTTTAATAACTGCGCCATCAAGTGTGCTTGCTGATACATATCGACTCAGTGTGTTATAGTGCTTAGACGATGCATTGATACATGAATTTGATGTGTATCATATTATTTTCTATGTATCATGAGTTTTTGAAAATTGTTATCATGTATCAGTTAATAAGTTTAATAACTGGATGTTCAAAAAATGTCTTCAAACTAGATGATATAATCTTGACTTTTCAAAATTTGAAATTGTTATCCAATTACGTGCTGAATTAATGCTTATTAATGAACTGTTACCGTAATTTAAGCTGATTTAGATAACAAATTTAAATATTCCGTTTTTTCCCCCTTTTAATCTTAATAGTTTTAAGTTACTGTGTATCATTTACCATGTATCACAACATACTAATGTATCACGCCACAACAATTTTAAGGGATTATTAGTAAATACTAAATTTGTCGGAACAGAATGTAATTATTGTATTACACTATGGGATTCCTTAAATTTATACTATTTACTTTCATTAAAAAATACACACGCGTTTGCACATTGTAACAATAATAAAATAAGATTTGAAAAGGGTTTAAGTTTTTTCACATTTTTTTTAGAGATAGAAAGAATATTTTCGATTAACGTTCAATTTATAGAAAAAATAATTGAAAAAATAAAACATATAAGGTACTAAGAAACAACATATAATAATAAAAAACAACATATAATAACAAAACATGAACTAAAAAGTAAGGACTTGTACAAAAGAGAAGAAAACTAAAGAAAGATTCAACACTATATACTATTACATACACAATATCACATGCATATATCATGGTGGAAATCAAATCAAGGGGAAAAAAGTTGATAATATTAAATATCAATGCCATAGGGAATTAGATTCCCCCAAAAAAGGCATATGGAAGGAACTATTGAGTAGTCAAAAAGCAAACAAAAACACTGTTTTTTTGACAAAAGATAGCTTAAAGAAAACACATAGGTAAAGAATCTATTAAGCTTTTAATTTGTTATAAACACCATTATTTCTTCACAGTTATACAACATACACCAAACAATCCATTTATAGATCATCTTGATATTTCAATTCAACTCTCAAAAAATTATTTCATAGACATGGAAAATAATAGCTCAAAAGTAGAGATGATGAAGCCAGTATTCCTCAAGGCTGGAATACCAATAGCCCTCACTTTAGCTGGTTACATAATTGCCAAAATAACAAGTAGAAAAAGCTCAAATTTTCAAATTTCACCAATTCAAGAAAATCCTCATGAGGTGGTCTCAAGAAAAGATGAAAATGATCATCAAAATCTTGAAATTTCAGAATCTTTATCTTGTATAAAATCTAATGATGATGATGATGATCATTGTTCTACAAGTACCCTTTACAATGATTCATCAAAAAGTTTTGATCTTTATCAAAATAAATGCAAGTTTCAAGAAAATCATCAAGACTTCTCAAGAAATGAAGATGGTCATCAAAATCTTGAAAATTCAGAAACTTTATCTTGTGTAGAAGCTAATGATAGTAATCATTGTTGTAAAAACACCCTTTACAAAGATTCATCAGAAAGTTTCAATCTTTATCAAGAAAAATGCAAAATTCAAGAAAATCCTCATGAGGTTTCAAGAAATGAAGATGGTCATCAAAATCTTGAAAATTCAGATACTTTATCTTGTATTGAAGCAAATGATGATGATGATCATTGTTCTACACACACCCTTTACAAAGATTCATTAGAAAGTTTCAATCTTTATCAAGAAAAACACAAAATTCAAGAAGATATTAAGTCCAAATTCCAACAATATACTCACTTGAAAGAGAAAGAAATTGCACTTATGGATATGCAATACAAGTTGTTATTAGAGATCAATAAAGTTGAGTTGTTTAGTAAGGAAATTACACTAATGGAAGCAGAGTGCCAAAGATTTCAAAATATGGTAATTGAATATTTGAGAATTATGGAACTTCTTGATTTGTCAAATTCAGAAAATAGTTTGCTTCAAAATAGAGTTAAGAAGCTTATAAAGAAAACCAAAGAACATTCAAGAGTTATGAAGGAACAAAAATCTCAACTTGAAGCTAAGGAAAAAGAAATTTCAACAAATCAAGAAGGGCTAGAAATGAAAGATCATGTCATCAAGGAAATGGAATTGGAAATTCAGCAGCTGAAAATGGAGCTGGAATTGGCAAAGACTTCAAACCAATCAAAGGTAGGTATTTTTAATAAACCGCGATTTCATGGATCGTCATTCAACTTTTAGTCAATCTAGCATATTAAAATCGTAAAACTGTTTTAATATATAATAGAGAATTAATTTAAGCATATTTACATATTACAGAAAATCAACCTCATGCACATGAAAATTTGACTATAAATACCAGCTAACATCATTTTTTTTCTTGTGATATATATGCTTAATTGAGTTATATTTTCATTTTAAAGATTGGTTTTATAACTCTGATGACGATAAATTAAAAGTCGAATGACCATCTATGAAACTAACCCATTTATTTATATCACATACATGAAATTGTGAATACATTGTATTGAAATGTTCCTTGTTTTGCAGAATGATGTAGAAGTTGTGACAATAGAAGATTACAAAGAATTGGTAAATGAACTTGAGCAATTGCAAAAGGACAAAGCTAGTGAAGACAAAGAGCTAATATACTTAAGATGGTGCAATGCATGTCTAAGACATGAATTAATGAGAAGAAATCAAGAACAAATGGAACAAGGGAAAAATCAAGAATTGAATTTGGGACATGAAAATGTTGAACAATTTGTACCAAAAGTAGATGATTTAATAATTGGGAGGAGTTCATCAGTTGGTCATAATGAATCTTGTTTAAATTCACCTATTAATGATCATTCAAAAAGGAGAAAATTAATACAAAAGTTCAAGAAATGGGTAGAGGGAAGTGATAAAATGAAAAATGAAACAAATTGCTTTAAGAGGCATTGTGTTTCTGATCATAATGAGGATTTGATTCATCCTGCTAGAAAATCATGTTCTAGTGCCTAATTATGTGACTATATATTAGAAAATAATTTCTTCATATTTGTTTGCCTACATTATGGAGATTATATTAACATATATGTAGCTCCCAATTTATGAAATGAGAAAGAAACAATTGATCTTATGAAGTACATTAATTGTGAATTGTGATCTCCATATTTAGCATTTTACAATATTTAACATCTATATCGATAAAAAGTGTAATAAATATTCTGTGAAAATCATCGAGATAATAATTAAGTGACTGAACACTATTTTTAAATAGGAAAAAGAGCTTTTGTAAGCGCAAAGACATTGGAGGAAAGAGAGGAATTTTCATCGGTATCCTAAATGATGCTCACTACGTTTTAATTTGTTTCGATTTGCTTAGAAGTTTAAGAAAATAAAATAGATTTTTTAATTTTGCGATATAAAATTAAAACATATAATTTTGTAATCATAAACATATCGTGTCAAAAGTTGAAATTGAAAAAAAGTTATCAAATAGGGATAAATACAAATTCTATCGAATCAAATTTAAAAATAAAAAGTAAGACAAATATATTGAACGTAAAGGTTTGTACAAATTGTGGTTCATATTGAGGGTGTTATCTCTATTTTCCCTCTCTTTCTCTAAACAAAAGCTACAATGGAAAAAGATTGTACAATCATAACTAATCTTGTTCCTACTTGCTCAACTTTCAAGAATGAATCTTTTCCTTTACCATCCTCTCAAAGCCACCCCTTTTCTTCACTCTCTCCCCTCAACTCCATTCTCAGGTAACTCTCTCTCCTTCACACACACACACAGAGAGAGAAAGATGAAAAGTTTACTAATTTAAACTAAAGTTTGAATCTTGAACTTATAGGAAACAGACCCATGTTATCAATTGAAGCTATAGTTTGATTCTTGAACTTATAGGACACAGACCCAAGTTACTAATTGAAGGTAAAGTTTGAATCTTGAACTTATAGGAAACTGACCCAGTTATTAGTTGAAGCTAAAGTTTGAATGTTGAATTTATAGGGGACAGACCCAAGTTACTAATTGAAGGTAAAGTTTGAATCTTGAACTTATAGGAAACTGACCCAAGTTACTAATTGAAGCTAAAGTTTGAATCTTGAATTTATAGGAGACAGACCCATGTTATCAATTGAAGCTAAAGTTTGAATCTTGAACATAGAGGAAACTGACCCAAGTTACTAATTGAAGCTAAAGTTTGAATCTTGAATTTATAGGAGACAGACCCAAGTTACTAATTGAAGGTAAAGTTTGAATCTTGAACTTATAGGAAACTGACCCAAGTTATTAATTGAAGCTAAAGTTTGAATCTTGAATTTATAGGAGATAGACCCAAGTTACTAATTGAAGGTAAAGTTTGATTCTTGAACTTACAGGAAACTGACCCATGTTGCTAATGAAGCTAAAGTTTGAATCTTGAATTTATAGGAGACAGACCCATGTTATCAATTGAAGCTAAAGTTTAAATCTTGAACTTAGAGGAAACTGATCCATGTTACTAATTGAAGATAAAGTTTGAATCTTGAACTTGTTGGAAACAGACCCATGTTACTAATTGAAGCTAAAGTTTGAATCTTGAACTTATAGAAACTGATCCATGTTACTAATTGAAGCTAAAGTTTGAATCTTGAACTTGTTGGAAACAGACCCATGTTACTGATTGAAGCTAAAGTTTGAAACTTGAACTTACAGGAAACAGACCCTTTTCAGCCAACTGCAGTAGAACAGCTTTACCTTGTGTTTGCTTGTCAAAATCATCTTTGGATGTTCCAGAAAAGAATATTTCTCAGCAGAATGAAGGAAGAAGGGCAATGATGGGCTCTTTTCTTATAGCTGGTAGCTCTCTTCATTTCTATTTCTTGGTTTTCAGTCTTTACATTTCATCAGTTTGAAACACATTGAGTTGTTGAATGCTAGAATCTATAGGATTTCTTGAAATTCGTTGCTAATTGTCATTTGTAGATGTTATACCCCATAGAATAAACTTGTATGCTTGGTTCATAGAAAAGCACCCTACATACCGCTATGGAAACAGGTCCATTTCATCGGCTTTTTCTAGGCAAGAGTCGCTCGAATCGAAGTCAAGGTGAGGTTTGGAACCCACATTGGTCTATCCGTGGAATTTGTGGATGTGCGTGTAAGTTGGCCCCGACACCACCTTTATGGAAAAAAAAAGAACTCCATCATTTTCCTTTCTCGTCATTTTAATACTTTTGCATTCTAGTTCTGTGTAAAGTGTTAATTGGTATTTTATTGTATGATTGTCCATTAAGAGTATTGGTAGTTGTTTCAGATTTCGTTTCATGATTCACTTTTTTTTTTGATGAATTATTACTTATTTCTCACCCCCTTGGGATGCGGCCTTTCCGGCCTTCCCTGGTCCGTATGAATGTAGGATTCTTTGTACATCGGTTTGCCTTTTAGTTGTTACTTATTTGATCTCTTTCACTATCAGCTGCTGGCCTTTGCCTCTGCGATGTGGCTGGAGCCGCTAGCACAAGCAGAAGAGCTGTAAGAATAACTTCCGTTGGCCTTATATGGATGCTTAGAATGCTCTCTTCTGTATTTATGGAAATTTTGTGTATTTTCCTTTTTGCAGCTCAGGGGAGCAAAAATACCAGAGAGCGAGTACACAACTCTTCCAAATGGTCTAAAGTTAGTATACAATTTTGAAGCATCTGAGTACTGTTTTCCCTACATTTGGATTCCTTTTACATTTGGTTGTTACACAAATTATAAAATCCCTTGGACTTGAAACAAGATTAATGTAGCTAACTCGAGTCTAGGGATGCAATATCTTAGCTCAACATATAATGTACACATTTTCTCATCATCATTGTCCTCCTACAATAAAGGAAAAGAAACACGTATTCTTCCATCTAATTTTGAGGCTAGAAGCAGTAGTCTGATTTGTGATTTCCTGCCCTATTTGTGGATTTTTATATTTTTCGGTGTAAATCTCTCAGGTATTATGACTTGAAGGTCGGCGCTGGAGCTGAAGCTGTGAAGGGATCTAGAGTTGCAGTACGGTTGTGCCAAAGTTGAATTGAGTATCTAAGTACAATGTTTGTTTTATCTTATAAAACATATTTGTATAAGTTAATATGCAACACCACATCATTAATAATCCACCATTAAGTGCATTGTATAGGTAAAATGTACCTTCTTCGTTTGAGCTTTCTTGATAGCAGTTCCACAGCTTCCAAACTTTTCTAGTTTAGAGCAAAACACTTTGAGATCATTTCATCACATGTGACAAACTAATATTGACTCATAAGATTTATATTAAGAACTGATCAGGCAACAGGATGTAATAGATTGCTGTCCTGTATGGAAGTTTCAGGGGCTTTTGTTTGAGGTTCAAATTTCCTACTGAGCCCCAAAAGGATCTTTCTGTTATGGTGACATGTTGCCACTTCTCATTCCACAACCACTACTTGCCTTGCACCCTCCACTATGCTTTTCTGAAGTTCAGGCCAGCACGATACATTAGAATGGTATTTAGGATAGAATTATACAAAAACCCGAAATAACCAATCATGTTGATCCCACTTCCAATGAGTCAAATGAAGCTAAAAACGACATTTCAGTAAATGCTTCATCAATCTAAATTATTTAGCTAATAGGTTACAAGGAATGTCATAGACCTTTGACGAATTGTTTAATGGTAGTGGTGATCTCTTTGATCATCATAACAGTTAGGCATGTCACATGCATGTCAATGTTGCCCCTAAAACCTTATATTTTGAGTCATTTTTATGATATATTTGAAAATGTAATGCATGTAGTCTCTCTGTGCTTTGCAGTTTCTTCGTTCATACTCAAGTATAATATATTTGTCAGAAATCTGGATTTACAGATTGCTTCTTAAAATCTGAATTGTTTATTATCTCATAATTCTAGATCCACTATGTTGCTAAATGGAGGAACATCACATTCATGACAAGTAGACAAGGAATGGGAGTTGGTGGTGGAACAGTAAGATTCATCTGCTTTATTTTTTTCCAACCTGTATAATTTGTATGGCAAATATCGGAAAATCTTAGTAGCTCAGTTGGTTGGCTGACTAGCTGTACTTTTCTCCTTGTTATTGAGGATACGATTGACCACCTTGTAATCCCCTTCCCCGTTTCCCCTTTTTAAAAAAAAGTATTGGAAATATCAGATGTAAGCTTTAAGTGTGGAAACCTACTACATGTTAAACAATTAATACTATTGCATGATTAGTCAAGGCGCACTTTGGGAAGCTAGATTAGAACTCAAGCACCTTCATTTGAAATGTTTTGTATAGAAACCTTAGGGATAACTGTGTTATTGTTGGATTTTAAA